TCACTCTCTCAGATTCCTCCTGGCACATATAGCATCTATCACTTTCTTAATGCTTCTTCGGCTAAGGTTGTCTTGAGTAAGGCAGCCATCACACATTGTTGTCTAGATGAAACCAATTACTTATATGGGGGTTTCTGATTTCCTATAAGCTTACATGTCCATTTGTCAATCAGTTCCTCGTTGGATCATAGATTTGCCATGTCCTCTTTTGATATTGTAGGTCTATCTTTGGACCCTTCCCGTTTCTAATCTGTCCTGCACCTGAGAGTTGACCATAAAATCTGATATTTTTATAAGCAATCCCTGAAGAGTCATTTAACTCCAATCCTGGATATCCCTTTTGAATTGTCCCGGCCATGAGTTATCTTGCCAGTACTGTGCCACATTGGTGTTTCTATTATTGGCTGGTAAAAATTAACTTGGATATACATCTTTCAGAATCTCCGGACCATGGTTCGGTTTTAGGGGTTATTATGAACTTTCAAACAGTGGTATCTCTACAATTTGTTTGTTCATCAGTGCATCAACTGAAGTTTTTTTTTATTACACAAATTTACAACTGCTGATTGTTCAATTTCAATTGTTCAGCACATATTCTGAGTTGAGCTCCTCGGCAAAGGAAGATAACGCACAGCCTGCTGTTGAGCAATTCTTGGCGCTGCATGCGAGTTTGAAGAATGTTCACCTTGTTGGTGATGCTTTATCCAAGACCATATCAGCTGCTGGTTCAGAATCAGATCATGAAGAAAACCCTTCTGAAGAAGCACTTAAGGCTGTATCAGAAAAACGGAAGCAAGCAACTCTATGGGTCAATGCTGCGTTGGCTACCAATCTGTCATCATTCTCAGTGTATAGCAAAAAAGCAACTTCATCTCCAATTGCCCCTTCAGCTCCCTCGCCAAGCCCAAAGACTATCGCTCTCAATCAACCTATGCTAGTCCTTGATAACTCAACCAAAAGTACTCTTGCAAAACCTCAAGCCAAACCCCGCCCGACAATGAGTTCTAAGATTCAGTCATCAGGATCTCAACGGCGCTTAGCAGATGGGATAGCTTCTAATCAAAAGCCAAAATCTCCTCCTCCAGCGGATTGGGTCAGAGGAGACGGTCTTGAAGAGGCTGTTGACTTAGCCGAGATGTTACGAGTAGCGTCCCAAGACTGGTTCTTAGGATTTGTAGAAAGGTTCTTGGATGCTGATGTTGATGCCTCAGCTTTATCAGATAATGGTCAAATAGCCGGCATGTTATCCCAGCTGAAGAGTGTGAACGACTGGTTAGATGAGATCTCCTCTAGCAAGGATGATGAAAGTCCCCAAATTGCTTCTGAGACCATCGATAGGATAAGAAAAAAGATCTATGAATATCTTCTCACTCATGTGGAGTCTGCTGCAGCAGCTCTTGGTGGTGGCAGTGGCGGTAGCTCACAAGTGCCACCTACAATAGAAACCAAAACGAGAAAATGAGTTCTATTGCATAATGCATACTACTAGCAACTCACCTTTCATATTTGAAGCATGCTCCAATAGTCCTTCAACCGCCAAGTGGTTAAAAGAGCTGAAAGTTTTAGGATGTGTATAGATTCTAAAATTGGTCGAGGTAGAGTAGTTTAGTATATATATTGTGCAGACAGGGAGTTACATGAAGTTCAAGATTTCCTTTTTTCTTTACCTGGAAACTTTTTCTCATAAATTATGACTAGCTCAAAGTCGTGAGTATATACTTATGTGAGTTCTGGAGAAAAGGGAACATGTCCTTTCTCCTTACCTTGAACGAGTAACAATGAACTTGTTACTGAAATTAACCTTATAGTTTGATTGATGACGTTATGCATCTCAGTGTTATCATTTGAAGTAGGAAGTTGTGGACTTGTTGGAACTTCAAGGTTTTCAAGTTTCTTTCACAATCTTGCTAGGAATGACGGAGTGAGCTGTCCAAGCTTGGGTGGACAGAGTTGCCTGGTACTTGTGCTAGTTGGAGGTAGCAATTTGGCGTGTGACTTCTTAGCTTGCTCGAGTTTGAAGTGTAATAATTATTGTAGTACCAGTAAAAGATTAGCTTCAGATCATGTCCCATGTACTTATTTTTCTAATAACAAAAACCATATTACAACTGAGACAAGGAGTAGCAGATGACATTAAAATGATCATACAGTAAAGATAAGATTGAGAAGTTCTTATTGGCATCCCAGTGGTAGACAAATATAACATATGTAGCTCTATGTAAAGGACTAATCTTGGAAATTGCAGGATAATCGTGGCGGTCCAAAGCACATCTTGTTAAACTCAGGTGGATGAGTGACTGCAAGATTGTTCAATAGGAACTGGAGGGTCTGAGAAAGAGCCATTGAGAATTGATTTGGCTAACCAGACATTTGCAGCATCTGTGTAATGTACTCCATCCCAGCTAATGTACTTTGTGGGATCACTACATGCCTTCCCATGCTCTGTGCCATTCACTATAGCTGTCTGACCACATGCAACTTCAGAACCATTATTGTACCATCCACAGCAGAATTTCAATGGGTCTCCAAAACCTGTTTGCCCATAAAAAACAAAGCATAGTTGACCATATTAGTTTAAGTTCTATGTGCTGATAGTTCAAAAGATATTATATAATCAGCTCACTCATAAGGTAGCTCAAGGTAAATCTCTATGATAACATTCATAATTGTTAACCTGATAAAAATAGTTACAAACTGGTATAATAGGTTATAAATAAAACACATTGATTGTGTAAACAGAACTTTCTATAAGTCCCAAGTTCGACCAGTTGAATCAATCATTGATGCTTGCATCAAGGTAGATTGCCTACAGTTAGGGTACGTGCCCTTTCCCAGGCTCTAAATGAATAGGGATGCTTTGACTGCAGCAGGCTGCTCCTATAACTGTAACTTCTAGGAGGAAATCAGCATAGGTTACAGTTTTGTTCATTCATTCAAAGAGTAGTGGGGTTTATTAACAAAGCAATAGAAATTACCTTGTTCCTTCGCAGAGCTAATTAGTTGATACTTAGCTGAATAAATGTCAACATAAGTAAATGCAGCACCAGGAAGCTCTGCTCTTAAGTGTAATATCCTGTCCTTGAGTTGCTCGTTAAACTCACGAGCCACCTTGTTTTCGTTCTCTATGCACCCAATGCCATCCAATCCCTGAGGCTTCAATGGATAATCTATCACACTGTAGGGCAAACAGCCAATGGGACCTGTATTGTGGATCCAGAAATTCACAGCCCCTTCATAGTAAAGTTGCTGCACAAATCATGTATATACACAAACATTAGTAAGAAAAAGAAAAAAGAGATTCAATAATCAAAAGTTAGTATTTGTCTCCCAAATGTGTAGCATCTAAGCCAAATCCCAAGTAGAAAAAACACGAGAGATGTTAGGTATATAAGAAAGCAAGCCTTATGCCTTAGTAACGCGTGTTAAGGATATGGTGGACACTGGACAGTAGGCTCAAAACCATATATAATGAAGGATGGTCAGTTAAACACCCTTTGTGAGAAATTTATACTATGTGTATGAGCTCTACGAAAAAAAAGAAAGAAAGAACATACATGAATTGCTTGAGTAAAATTGTCTATGATTAGAGGAATGGATGCTCTGACTTGTGCTTCATGGGTATATTGAAAACCATAAGAAAGGTCATTCTGTCCAATGTCAAATGTGTACAGTGCCTTTGAAAAATCTTGTGGATTTGCAATGTTGACTTTTGAAGAAGACCATTTTGATTTATTTGGAACTGCATCAATAATGTCAATAACATAAACACTCATACAATGTAGATATTAGTAGAAAATTAAGACAATGAGAAGTTAAAACTCACTTGATAAATCAGAGAGCAACATAGTCCTTTTTTTGAATTGTAAAAACTGAGAAATTTGAACCTCAAGGCTAAAAGGACTATAACCACCAGGAAGTATAGATGAACCAGCTGTTGCAAAATTTGCACCATTTCTAAAATTTGCCATTACTGAATCTAAATATGGACTCAAGTACTGTAACTCCAACCTGTCAGCTACAACACCATGAAAAAAAAAATTAACAACTTGAACTCGTGATCTCCTGATCAAACACGAATAAGTTTTACCTATGAGGTCTATGATTAGACGACCATCGCACATTCTGCCCATGGGACTGCCAAAGAAAGTTAGTCCATTCGGTGGAGGCACTTGACGGAATGCTGCTGATTTTCCACCGGTATCCGAATTCGAGTCACCAAAATTATATATTGCTGGAAACACACACTTGTTACTAATTTCTCCATAAACTAATCCCAAGTATAATAGTAATGCTAACAATGTTAATACTAATTTCTCCATTGTGTAGTTGGTTGGTTTTTGAATTTTGTAACAAACTCCTTTTATCTTCAAGTTTATATAAGATAATTTGCTTGCTTGATTAGATAATGTCTAGGCTCCTTGTATCATTTGAAGATGAATTCTTGCATCTCTTGACAGACATGCATCATATTTATAACCATAACTATCAAACTATTAATACGTATGGCCTTAAAAAAGGCATTTTGAACTATATGCAAGTAACGTTTTATATTTATTAAGAGTTTTCTTTTGTTGAATTACGATAATTAAACGTATATATAACTCTTCATATATGAGATTATCCAGTCAAGATTTTGTCGTTAATAATTCCATGAATCCCATTAAATATGTAATTAATGATTCTCAAATGTGATGAACTATGTATTTATTCACAAGGATGTTAGTAGACCCTTTTTTCAGGTTTGTTATTAGATAAAGATTTTGTAATCTGAAATATGCAGTAGTTAATATATTACAACAACAATAGAGAAGGAAATGAAAAGCTGCATTTTTCCTTGTCAAGTTTTAGTTACAAACTTTACAGAACTCATTTCATACAGAAGCTTTTTTGGCAATATATTCTCAATTCATAAAACTGTTTCTTGTGACTCTCAAGGAGTGAACATTATGCCTAAGCAAATGTACTCAGTGACTAACTAATAACTCTTTTACCATATCGATTTATTCTGCTATCGACGGTTCTTTCTCTGGTTCAACCTCCAAGGGCTCTAACTTCTCTGTTTTACCATCTTCCTTTGGAATAATAAGTCCATAACCCCCTTCTTTTCGTCTGTAAACGATGTTAATCTCACCTGCAACAAGCATAAAATCATTAACAAAATACCTTGAAGCATTTAGAAAACTGTTTATGATGTTGTAAGGATGTTTCTCAGTACCAGTTTCCTCATTCCGGAAACCATAGAAGTCATGGTCGACATTTTCCAGCTGTTCAATTGCTTCATTGACACTTAAAGGTGGCATGTCAAAGGACTTCTTACGAACAACCTGAAATAAAATATGAACGGAAGTGAATTTGAGAACAGAATTCTGGAAACATTAGGCAAAATACCCAGTAAATCTAAATCTAAGACATTATAAACCATTAAAATGGTTGTTTATACTCATTTAGCGAATGTAGCAAATCTTGACGATCAGATCATTACATTTCAAGCTAGGATTTCGAGGGTGATGTCTAATAATGACTTGGTGCATCATTTAGTATTCAGCAGAACAGGCAGTAAAAAGCATAAAAGGGAAGAGTCGAAAGTGATCTACAGTTCTACATCCACCCGACAGACAAGATTTTGTTCACTTAAAAGTGACAAAGCACGTTTCGTTGCTTGGGGAGATTGACAAAGCATGCTGTGAAACAACCGAGGCATTTATATCAAGAAGAGATTATGAATATCTGGCTACAGCATAGACTGCTCGGTTTGAGTTGAATAAAGACACAGGCATTTGATAGGCAGTGAGGGGATTTGGAATGGTAGAAACAGAAAGGACAAGTGTGTTCCATACAAAAAAAAGACAACCTTATTCTGGAATGGATATTACACCTGTAATTTAAATTAACACTGTAACTGTAAAGATGAGCCTAATGTACATGCCTCAGTATTTGGCAAATACAACAAATGAAGAAGGGGAGTTCCAGGAGAAAATGGGCAGGGGCATCTGCTATCACATAACTTAAGATCAGAAATCAGGATGTTTTAAGGCATACGCCAACCCTGTTCATACCTATGTTGCTCGGACTCTTCAATAATGTCAAGGGGTGCGTGTCGGATTTGCCAAAAGTAGTGAATTTTTGGAGAACCTGAGACGGGTGCGGCATTGAAAGTGAAGAGTCCGCGCAACTTAGGTTCATACTGCTATAAAGGTCACCAGATCTTCGTTCCTAAATGGTATTTCAAATGCTTTCTAGGTGAACCATTATAACGTAAAATTTCGAAGTTTTTCCCTTTAAAGCGAAACATACCATACCTCCACAACAGCTAACAGTTATCTCCGTTCAAGATACTTGCTAATTCAAGGACTGGAATAAAATTTAAAAACTGACACAGGAAATGAAGTCTAATATTTTATCAAGATCCTAGATTACGATACCCAAATATTGTTCCACCCATCAATTCTAATTCTACTCTGATCCACCATAAACATCAAACAAAAAGATGATAACCATCTTATTTATCATCGCATAATCACATAGTCTTGTTCCTGGTCTCTTACTACTTCTCTTCTGTAATACTCTAAACATATTATGGAAGAATAATAGAACCGGAGTATGGCATCCAACGTCAAAAATGGAATACACATTAGCAAAACTCATTCAGATATTCTACTCAGTTAAAAAATATTAATTGGGCAAAATATCAATTGCCAGCACCAGTAAAGCCCTTTAGTCACAGTGAAAAACATGTATCCTCGCTGTTGCTAGGAATTCAGTCAAGTCTAAGCTAAAAGGCCATGCAAACTTGTAGTAACCAACAAAATTGAGTGCAAGAAGAATATTTGGCAAAACATATAAGTTCAGAGACAACCTCAGTAACAAAGCCATCACTCTTGTCATCTTCAACTTCTTCCTCTTGGGAAAGTGTTTCAAGATCCTCTTGAACTAACAGCGCCTCTGGGTCCCTGACTTTCAGCCTATCGAAGCCCTTCATGTGGCGACCACGGTCTGAATCCTTCTCCTTAATTTTCCGCAACTTTCTCTGTATAATTGATGATACCATATCTATACTTCCATAAATTGACTCACCGTCTTCCTCTGCACGAATCACTCCATGCTTTTTCGTAAATAGAGTAACCTATAGTTCAGGAATGTCAGTCAAGTAAATTTTGAATGATAAAAATAATAACAAAAACCTAATGTAATGAATTTTCAAGTTTTGGTGCACACTTCACATCTTCGAATTTTTGGGCCTTTTCCAAGCTCTCCACCTCGAACAGACAGCCTAACATCCACTTCCCTGGCTAGATGGCTGTGCTTTTGAACTGCCTTACCCAACTTCTCTTCCACATAGTCCTTTACAGCAGGTGTTAACTGTAGTTGCACCACGACAATAAGTCACCACCATGAACACTTTAAAAGCAAAAAAAATAAATTCCATTTGAGAAATCAATCTGCTAAGACTTGTTGTTTCATTGTGAACTAGCTATTGAAATGGTTAAAGTCCAACAAGCTAATTTTTTTGATGTCAATTCATACGTATTTTTTCTACAACAGCTACAACACAATCGCAATAAGTTTGCTCAGCTATATGAATCCTCATTGACCATGTCCCTTCATTTAAGATCATCTCAAACTAACATTAAGCAAAACAAAATTAGAAATGACTCAATGAGTAATAAAGATACTAGAAGCTCTCTATATTTTCTTCTCTGACAAATTAGAGAACCAATAGAAACACAGAACATGACTAAACTATAAATCCAACTAATTGCTATCACATTAACAGATTTTTCTTTCATTGTGCCCTATTTTTCACTGAAATGGTAGATCCCATCAAAATTAGATTTTGATACAGAGACATAAGATGCTAAAAGGTACTATTAAGTACGCAGATCTTAGTCCTACTTTTTCAGGACACACAGGTTGTTTCTGATAGACCTTATAGCACCTGAGCAGTCATTTGATAGAGGAGTATATTCAAAATCAATTAACTATTTTTCAGAAAACCCAAGTTCCTATGAAGTACACTTTAGCAGATATAAGCAAAAAATGCAGGGAAATAATAATATTGTAAGGCCTAAGGAGTGTGACCTCAAGATTTTTCCCTTGAAGAATGAGTTTAACAGAAGAAAGTGGACCATCCCAAGACATCCGGACCCCAAAGGATTTTGTCACCCTATTCCTGACAGGAACATTAATTTCATTCATCTTGAAAGCTGAATTTAAAAATCGTGAATTGGTAGATGACAATGTCAGTGACAAAGCTGGAGAAGCAGTAGCGGGACAAGAAGAAGAATAGGATGAGGAACCATTTGGGTAGCTATGGAGAGAGTGAAAAGTTGTTCCCACGGAAGGGGAAAGGGAAAGAGTCGCCATTGTTGTATATTGCAGGAACAGTAGTAACTGGAGATTTTTGAGTCAATTTATCGATTTAAGGAGTAAAACACTTCAAATGGGTTGATGAATTTTGTGGGTTCTTGATAAAGATTGGAACTTTGTAGGAGAATCACAGTTGCTTTGTTGCTCGGTACAGTAGTGTGGGACTGATGAAGAAGAAGAAGAAATGCGTTATCCAAAATGAGATGATGGTTGACACGTGACCTTTGCATAATTTGCAAGAATGGTCCCCGAATTTGTAGTCAAATTTCATTTCTCATATATATCTAAGCTGACGTGTGATCACGAGATATGGAAATGGATAATATTCATGCCCATTTAGGAGGGCCCAGCCCATCCTTGATTTTTTCATTTTATTTTTTTTTGAATATTGTTTAATTTTGAAGAAATATCTACTAATAATAAAAATGGAGGCAATTTAGTAAATAATATCTTGTATTTATTAATTATTTTTTAATGGATATGGAAATAAAGCTAAAACATATTTATTTTGGGACCAATAGAATATATATAATAACCAAAAATAAAGGTGAGATGAAGCAAGTATACAAATATAGTATGTACGTATACATACATAAATAGAAAGGGAGGGAATACCTATCGGTTGGTCTAAAGGTATTCAAATACAAACCTTTGGTTTAATCGAGTAACTTTCACATATATATAAAATTATATTTGTATGTTCTAGTTATAGTTTGCATAATTGTGTTCCATAACAAACATAAATAGGTATATTTTGTTATATATATACAAAAGAAAAATAGTTGTTTAATTTCGCTATACATATATAAAAGAAAGTAGTTGTATAATCTGCTTTGGTATACATATACAGAAGATCAATTGTATAATATATTTTTGTATAAAGCGAGAAAAGGAGAAATACAAGAAAATTGGGTAGGGAAAGATCGTAATTCTATAATCATAAGTGTATAGGACGAAAATATATGCATTTTTATATGTATATCTAAATTTTCTCTAGTTTTATACACGCAAACACAATATATTCATTTGTGTTTGTATAAAGTGAGAGAGACGAGTGAGCAAGCAAGATCTGAAAAAGGGAAACGAAAATATATGTATATTTACAAGTTTCTCTCGCTTTATATAAATACAAAACATATTTTATACTTTTACGTTTGTATAAAAGCGAGAGAGGCGAGGGAGACAATGAGAGTGACGAGCGAGATTTGCTACGGGATACAATTAAATCAAACTATGGTTATAACATTTAATTTGAATTAATAATTTGCTATTGTATGTAATTTTTTCATCTTTTTAACATAGAATACTCTCAAGAGCCCAAACAAGGCCCATAAAATCCATATGAATAAACATCCCAGTAACTTTTCTCGTTTGGTTTGATGGACTGCTTTTAAGGGCCCAAACATGAATGATCATATATAGTTTGGTTACTCATAAAATTCTTATTAACAATATAATTTTTTTAAAGTCTGAAATATATTCAAACTTTTGATCGAATTTGCTGTAATAGTATCAAACTTTGAAAATATTTTTTACCCCTTATACCATTTAATAGTAAATTTTAAAGGTATATGTATATCTTCATAGACAACATAAATATTACATCATTATAAATAATAATATCTCCACGTGGACACATATACACCTTTAAAATACACAATTATCTAGTGAGGAGGTAAAGATCCTTCATAAAGTATCATAACAATAATTTCGATCAAAATTAAATGCATTTTTCAAACCTGTTCTATTCTTTTTAATACTATCTCTAATCGATCATGGCTGGTCACTTTGTATACATTTTATATTTCTCCTCAATACTGATTATAAAAGTTAATGACACGTGGAGTAGTTAGCTTATATTGCATGACTCTAATATGCATAATACATGAACATAATCGTTAATTTGATGATAGGTGATAACTTTAATTTTTAATTTTAAGTATGTATAAGTAGACATTAAAATTGAAGAAATAGACACATTCATCCTACATGGCGCCTTACATTGTGATTTTATGTCTTACGTGGCGTCCTACGTGTATTATACCATGTACGACACGCATAATTACTTGTTCAATTTATATAAATTTAAATACCTACTTGTATATATTTTAAAATTAGAGAACATTATTATTCGTTAAAATTAAATTAAAAAATCATATTTATATAATATGTCATTATAATACGTGTCAATATTGGATTAGTACTTCAAAGAACTTAAACTGCACGCAAATATTATGCAACTGAATTTGTCATACGAAGAACTTAATCATATTATAGATTATAAATATATCTATTCCTTCCAAATGTTTACACCTAATCAATCATTTTAAATTGAGTTAACTAAGAATCAAAAAGTATGAATAGACCAAAATAAAATTATTAAAGATAAATATCTTACATAGATAGGTTGAGTGTAAATATCTCGTGCTAGGTTTGTTTGTATCAATGACAAGGTTACATGTATTAAAAGCTTTAATTGATATGCCTTATCGTTGAAAATTACACTATCTAATTAAAATTAAAAAAATATATATTTCAGTTCCTATTATGTTTTCTTCATAGATTTTTTTAAAAATATTTTAAAGTATTTTAATAAAAATTTTGACATCACCAATTACGAAGTTAATATCGATAAGATAAACGTCATCTAGCATGCGTCATTTACATGACGACGCCAAACTCTTTATATCAATGGACCTACAAATTGTCATCTCGTTTTCTGTACTAATATATTCTCTCCATGCATTTCGTTCGTAATTAAAGTTATTCAGCAACTTAATTATGAAAGAATTTATATAATATTATATGTAAATATATATTAGTTATACGGAGATTTGATATTTATCGTATAGTTATTCCATCTTCAAACATGTATAAATTTTAAGTAGATTCTCTCATAATTTATATATACTCATGTATTAGTTATGTGGTTGTCCAGTTTTACACATGAAATTTATCTTGTAATTACTAATCAAACGTTCATAATATGACACTCACATAAAATTATAATTTGCATAAATCTTCTCTAAATTAACTATCAAACGACTTGTTAATATTCATCTGGCCTATATTGCATGTTTTTCTTTTCATATTTTATGAATCTGTATATAAAGAATTTAATTCATTTTTTTAGTAAGATTAAAAAGATATCTCTTCCTATATTCATACTTAATTGTTATACAAAATCGTTTGCTCGAAAAAATTCATCAAATTATAATTTTTTCTTCTTTGAGACCATGATGAATGACGTTGTGTTATAATTAAGTGTAGTCACTTAGCTCATGTCCATCGCGAGCAATAACAAAGTCAGAAATATTTTAATAAATACTTCTAATTTGATATATGTTATATAACAAATAATTTTTTATTCATATAAATACTTCATATTATTTTGGCCTAAGTCATTTCGAGTCACTCAAAGTTGTCCGCATAATTCATTTAGATACTCAACTAATTCTTGTGCCGATTGAACACTTTATTTGTTCAAAAGTCATTTCTATTAGACACAAAATGCTGACATGGCAAAAAATGTGTAATTCACTTTCCTTGAGCGCGTTAATTTATTAAAAATAATATTTTTCTATTTTTTCTCTTAATTTATACCCCTAAGTTAATTTTTTTAAAAAAAATTAACAAAAAAGAAGAAGAACAGTTGTATTCTTCTTCTTCCCTATTTCTATCAACCCCACCACCTCACCCCAACCCCCATACCCATACACCAGTGGTTATCTTCTTCCCCCATCATTCTAATGATTTCAAAATTCTTAGTATCAGTGGTTATCTTCTTCCCCCACCATTCTAATGGTTTCAAAATTCTTAGTGTTTTGTTTCATTTATAATTTTTCGAATAGATTCTTTTCCCCATTTTTCTCTACCTAAAAAACGAGATGAAGTAAAAAGTTATAATTAATAAAAAAGCTGATGAAAAAAAATTGTCGGATTAAAGATGGAACTGTACAGGGAAGGGGGGGGCGCCATTAATGGAGTTAGAGGAAATGTAAGTTTTGTTCCAGTTGAAGGCAGGAAAGTGGGTGTTTAGGTTTTACTTTTTTTTTTCATTTGTTTTACTTTAAAATAATTTTTATTTTTTTTTACTTTATAATATAATGTTTAAATAATTTTTTGGATTAAAAAATAACACATGTCATTATTTGATTGGTCAAATTGACATGTCAGCGCGAGTGTATTTCACACATTCTCTATTTTTTGTTTATTCTCGAAAAAATGTTCAAATGGTTCAAATTCAAAATGGTTGAAGTGTTCAATAGATAGTACGTCTAGTTAAGGTGTCTAAATGAATAATTGGGACAAATTTAAGTGACCGCATATGATTTTGGCCTACTATTTTTATACGCACTACGTATAATATAATTTTATGACGAATAATATAATATTCAACTAGGTGTACGATGACATTGAAAAGTGGAAGCCACCAAATATATAAATAAAATCTCGTCCTTTAATTATTGTTCGTTATATCGATGGAAAATATCTTTGTTTAACCCTACATGTATGAAAAGATCTCTAGCACTGATTCAACAGTGAACTTTTTTCTTTTACCAAAATTAAAATTGGATTTCCTAGGTCACTCATATCCTCTTCTTTGGATATGCAAACAAACATGTCTACATTGACCAAGTTAAAATTTCAAATTCAATTTTTAAAATTTAATAAAATTTGAATTTATATAACAATTAATATATATTCAATAGACAAAAATAAATATAACTTTACACTAAAATTATTAAGTTGGAACGAGTGGATAATTCTAACTCCGTTCCTGTCTCTATCTACTTAATAATTAATTATAGTTCTAGAAAACGTGTTATTGATATGCAGTACTAGAGAATAGAAAGAAACATAGTCATAAAATGGGGCAAGCTATTCATAGTAGTGTGAATTATTTATCGTTGAATAAGAAGGAAACTGACGATTGGAATAGGTCCAACGTAATGCAGTTGACTGACTTGTCTACAACAAGTGTTGATGAAGAAGGAAACTGAGGATTGGAACATGTCGAAGACTAGTGAGTTACAACACTTGCTGTAGATAAGTCAGTCAACTACATTGCGTTGGACCTGTTCCAATCGTCAGTTTCCTTCTTCTTCAACATTTATGACCGTTTTGATCTTTTCAATCATTTCATTTTATTTGTTCTCGTTTAAAAATAATAAAGTTTTTTAGTAACTTTTTAGTTTCAATACATTTGAAATTGTAAAATTAAAAAATATTCTAATAAGTTTAACATGATTTGAATTTATAAGTATTAGTCATATAAAAACAAATAATTTTTTCACTTTTTGCACATCATCAATTCAATTATAGGTATCAAAATGAGTTATAATGCAGTGGTCACGAGATTATTTCACCTTTAAATAGAATTTTTAAATTTTAATTATAAATATATATATTCTAAATAAATTCTGCAATACGCGATTCAAATTCAATCTATATTTTAATATTTTAATATTGACTTACATTAAAAAAAAAAATACAGGTGACTTGCTAGTGGAAGGTGCACCGTCTTTATCAGCTGCGGAGACTTCCGTCAATTTCTTGACTTGTTACATGTTGACTTATGAACTCATCAATTATCTATTGCTAAATTCCATCAAATTTAACTACTGCTAAATATGATATATATATCTGATACTTTTCCATATATGAAATTCAAATTACATGTTTCAAACTTTCAACAGTTTAGTTCTTTAAAATGTAAAACTTATTTTGTTATATTTAAATTATTATAAGATATAAAAGTGATATCTTTTATTTTAAAAATAGAAGTATAGTACAAAATTGAGTGCCTTTTGCCCAACTAGTTTTAATGGGTTTTCGAATTTTATCTATTGTTTGGTCATAAATTTGTTATATTTTTTTTTTTGAAATTTAAAATTCAAAATGCTGTTTTACAATTTCCACATCGATAAATTAAATAGAAAAAAATATTGTTGGGCTGTTGTTACTGTGTAATTAGGTTATTAATGAATTAATAAAAGAAAATTATTGGATTATTGGTTCGATATCGAATTTTACTATTGGGTTATTGGATAAATCGATAATCCAATAAGATAGTAATAATTTATTATATTACCCTCCCTAATAATTTAATATATAAGTAGACACTTCAACTATATCAAATTATTAATAATCTATCTACTTCACACTATACCGCTTTACTTGCTTTTATTGTTTACTAAAAACCTAAGAACTACCGTAAGGTTTCACAATTGTAACTTTTACTTTTAGTTTTAGTCTTGTTGGACTAGTTGATTTTAATTTTAGTTTGTAATTGTAGGTTGTAGCATTTGCAAGTTTGTAAAGGTCCGTACTATGTTGTTGGCGGTGACGTGTAATTATAACCTTCGTACTATATTTAGCTTAGTAAGAAGTCATATAATATTTTACAAATATTTTCTTATTGGGTAAACCGAGAATCGAACCGATAACTATCAAAAATCTATAAACTGAAAACCGATAAATAATATCTTATTGATTTGTTATCGGATTAGCTTATTTAAAAACCAAAAATCAATATACATAAGATCGAATCGAACCTACCGATGCACACTCCTACTCTAAATTACCCGAAATTCCAAAATAATTATAATTTTCAATTATCATTTTTAACTTAAAATCAAATAATTATCAACGCTATTTAAAATAATGGCACATCCAAACAACGGAATTGTTTTTGTTACCGTCTTCGATTTTTAACGCGATCGACATGTGTAAAGAATTTAACCCACCACTTAAAAGAAATGGTGTGGAGCCAAGTCCGGTTTTCATTATGTGTTAAGCCCCAAATTACGTCCGAAACACGTTGGCAGTCTCACGTATATTTTACGTAGTTAATGTGACGTTTATTTTACGCGTCACGTTTATTTTACCGTCCTATCCAGTACTAATTTAATCAAGTCAGTAAAATGTGAACCCATTAACACTAATTAACATTATCGTGATTTGGTTCACGTGAAAAAAACCAAGCCCACAATATCTAAAATATGTATATATATATTAGCTACTTTAAGCTTCAATGACATTTTAGTTCTTGTATTATTACATCTCTATTTTTGTGTTCTTAAACATGATGACAACAACAAGTGTTCTTTCTAGTGGATTCAACCACTCAACCCTCCCTCAATCTTACGTTCGACCTGAATCTCAAAGACCTTGCATGTCTGAAGTTGTTGATAGCGACGATCTTGTCCCAGTCATTGATATGTCTTGTACTGATAGGAACGTTATCGTTCATCAAATCGGTGAAGCTTGTCGTCTTTATGGGTTTTTTCAGGTTCTTTTTTCGTACATTCAATCCTTTCAGATGTGTTGTTATTCTCGTTTCAATTCATATAGCAACATTAGTGTTTTTTAATCACATTTTTTTTTCAAATGTTTAACTAGTAGTTATTTTGGATTTTTTTTATCAGGTGATAAATCACGGTGTGTCGAAGAAGGCGATGGATGAAATGTTAGGGGTAAGTCATGAATTTTTTAAGCTACCAGTTGAAGAAAAGATGAAATTGTATTCTGATGATCCATCTAAGACTATGAGATTATCAACTAGTTTTAATGTTAAGAAGGAAACTGTTCATAATTGGAGAGATTATCTTAGGCTACATTGTTATCCTTTGGACAAATATGCCCCTGAATGGCCTTCTAATCCTCCTTCTTTCAGGTAATTAATTAAATTTTTCATTATAATTAAGTATTATTAGTTCATTCATTTCTTGTTTATTTTGTTAATCCAAATTCATTTTCTATAAAATGATGACTCTATATGAAACGTGTTTATCCCGTATCTAAGTTGTTTTTTGCAAATTTTTTAGTCATATTACTAACTTGTCTATTTTTTGCTTTGTCACGTGGATATGTGTTATGTGTAATATTTTTTTTTGTCGTGTTTCTAAGTAGTCGTAATTTTAATTGTCACGTATCTAAACTGTTTAGTAGTAATCTAGGTAAATTATTTGTAATTACGCGTTTAAGTTGTTTCTGTTTAGTCAGTGTTTGTACCTGTAATTACTAATTAGGTGCGCTAATTAATTAGATTATGACAAATTTTATGTTGCTTCACAAAGAAATTAAATGACTCAAGTCTATACAATATCTTTTTTCAATTATTCATAATGGTGATGACGATTTCAATTATAAACGCCTCAGCCAACTTTTTTAAAAAAGAAATCATATACTTTCGATCAATTAATTTGTTAATATAATTAAATATATACCATATGTTTGTGAATTAAATGTATATTTAGTAAAAGATATATAAATGTATTTTGTTAAACTAGTTAATTAAAATATTTAAGGCGGTACCAGATGTTTTATGGAGTATATTATTCCAAATCTCCATGATTTTAATTTGTTTATCTCGTAAGAATAAAAATAATTCTAAAAAGTATTATTTTACTCAAGTCCTTTTCAATTATCGGTGCATCAATATCTGTGTGTCTAGTCCCTAGAGTTCAGCTGTTAATTTTATTATATTTCATGACGTCATGGCAGACATCGGCTGATGACGCAATATTTTTCGACTTTTTCTTGTTCGCTATATTAAATATTTTTATTTATTTGTTTATATATTAATAAAAATCATTTCAAATTATATTAATAAAAATGAAAGACGCGTCGATATAACCATGTGATGGTGATAGTCAGCATAAGATAAAATCATGTGATGAATAATTGATTTTCTTTGTCAGGTGCAACTCCCTAGCAGACAACTACTTTATGGAGTCTGATTTTTATTTTATTTTTCAGTTTTTTAAAAAAAACAAAAACGGTATCCTTGAAAATATTTTTATTCAAGTTAAAACTCTTTTCTTAAAAATTAAAACGATATTAGTATTACTTTTCTAGAATTGGGAACCAAAATGATTGTGTTTGTACGTCTTTCTACCTATATATACGACATATTATGACGTATGAGTTTAATTAATGTTCTCACCATTCATTTTTTTTAAGTCGATCGATTAAATCGAAATAGAAATCTAATTATTGCTCTTTGAATTATATTGTTTAGGGAAATAGTAAGCAAATATTGCATGGAAGTTAGAGAGCTTGGATATAGATTGGAAGAAGCAATATCAGAGAGCTTAGGGCTTGAGAAGGATTGTATAAAAAATGTGTTAGGTGAACAAGGACAACATATGGCTATCAATTTTTATCCTCAGTGTCCACAACCTGAATTAACTTATGGGTTACCAGCCCATACAGATCCAAATGCAATTACAATTCTTCTTCAAGATTTGCAAGTGGCTGGCCTTCAAGTTCTTAAGGATGGAAAATGGTTATCTATTAAACCTCAGCCTAATGCCTTTGTCATCAATCTTGGTGATCAATTGGAGGTAAACACGTCTTTCTCTGTTTCTGTTTCAATTTATGTGATATCAGACTTGCACATCGTCTGAAAATACAACTAATTAGATAAAAGAGTATAAACTTTTAGATGAAATAATTATTTATCGTGTGTGCAGGCGTTGAGTAATGGGAAGTATAAAAGTATATGGCATAGAGCTATTGTAAATTCAGACAAAGCAAGGATGTCTGTGGCTTCTTTTCTCTGTCCCAATGATTGTTCCATTATCAGTGCTCCAAAAACCTTAACTGAAGATGGATCTTCTGCAATTTATCGAGATTTCACTTATGCTGAATATTATGAAAAATTCTGGAGCAGGAATTTAGATCAGGAATATTGTTTAGAACTTTTTAAGAACGATGGAACCTAGTACTTGTATGAGTTTATTACTTTTGTATCGACCTAAGTGTGGTTGTCACACAATTATGTTAGGAAACAATCACTTGATATAGTTCAGATATGAAATTCGCAAAAAAAAAATGATACTTCAAGTATGTAAAACTTTTTTTGTTCTTTTTCTCTGGCATTATCATCTTTGGAATGATATGTGGAGAGTGTGCTTCCATGATATCATGAAACTCCGAGAAAATAATCTCCTATGATCACTTACAATTTGAATAGATGAAAATGATCTTTCGAGTACCTGTTATTATTGGTTACGTTATGCAACATGCATTAGGATTTTCATCGGAGAAGAGTTGAGGAGGTGGGATTCTTTCAATCACATGAAGTGGTTGACAATAATACATCATCTTATTGATGGTTTCTTCTCCTCCTGATGCTTTGTTTCTTTCTTCGAGTTTCTTAGCTTCTTCATCTGGATTTTGTTCTTCCTTATGCTTCCGCGGTTCATGTTGAAGTACAATTTTGGCCTGCTTTTAGTTCGTCTGTAGACATAGTCAACGAGCTTGTTGGCGTCTATGCTTCCTGTTACAATTACCTTCCCTGAGGTCAGATCTGTTTCCGCGGTTCTCACCCCTAAATTAATCATGAAGAAGATATAATTAAGTGCAAAATTCTAGACATGGAAGTTATATTACTGTCACATTTCACATCTACTAACTTAAAATTCTGAATCCGCGTACACAAAATGGTTAGGTAAATACACGAAAGGACTCGTTTATATACCTCTCATTTTTAGAATCTTTCTTTTTAGCTGTTTGGCACATGCCTCACAATGCATGTTAACAATTAGCTCAACTGTCGTCAATCTGTTAACCTGAAAAGGTATTAAAACAAGGATCAAACATTTTCATTTATGATCTTTATGTATATTCTTCAGCGGAAAATTATACTGTACCGAGTAAAAAATATTTACCTGTGAAGCAACAACTCCAGGAATAGGTTCATCAGCTAGTGGTAAAGGCGAAAATACTTTTGCTGTTCTTTTTGTTTCCTTAACAATGCTGGCACACACTGCTTGTGGTTCGATCACTCCGCTTATTGTCACTTGGTTTTGCTCCATATCTATCATTACTCTGTCTACCCCTGCTTCATTTTAATATAGATATGATGCTTTTCTAAAATAACTTCAGAAGAAAAAAAACGCAACAGTCAAGGTGCATGCAAACTGACTAGAACGTTACAAGCAAAGTGAATAGAGGAGGATAAAAACCTCTGATCTTTGAAATGGTCCTCTCAATCTTCTTGGCACATCCTAAACAATGCAAGTCTATGCACAAAATTAAAGGAGAATGTTGTTTTAGTTCTTCTGTCTTCTCTTCCTCTATTTTCGGTTCCTTAACGAGCTCCTATCAAACATAACAATCCATTATATGAACATTTTCTCATATTGACAAAGATGAAATAAATTCAAAAAAGGAAAACGTGACTAACCTTTTTGGCTTCTTTACTCATTGTCTCTGCTGATGAGTAGTGAGGAGAAACCAGCTACAAGGTTTTATATACCGAAAACGACGAGAATCAAACTATAATATATAAAAGGTCAATATGAGTTTGCAAAATTGTATGCATGAAAGCTAACTGTGCAATGGCAAAGCACATGCAGTCGAACTATCTGCATAAAAGGGTACCATCCTATTTGATTCCTCCTTTTTGTATATTAGTTGGAAACTATATTCATGAGGTAGAGGGAGAGGAAGGATAAAGGGGATTCCACAAAGCAGAGGATACCCAAATTTATGGACATAAAGAATATAAATAGCACAGAGAATATAAAGTAGGTCGAGAACTATGAGTTTTCAAGTTTAAATCTCACTGGAGGTAAATCATTAAGTGATAGTTGGACAGAGTTACATGGTATCTATCTGTGTTAGTAGAGGTAGTAGTAGGTATTTGATAAAATTAATCGAAGTGTATGCAAGTTGACCCGAATATTACTGTTATAAAAGAATTTAGCAATACAACTTGGTAAGTTGAACAAAAATGGGTTGTATGAAACTTTGGGGATGCTAAAGTACTAATGATTTGAGTGTAAAGACCTTCATTCTTCAAAGTTGGTCTCACATGGGTTTCTTTCAATTTTACATTTCAAACCCCTGCCCCCTCACCTAGGGGCAAAAATAAAAAGGAGAACATCAACAGAAAATCTTTAGTCAACGGAGTTCTGTCGAACCCAGTAACTTTATGCATCAAGAAATCCATAAAATATGAATAAATATCAATTTCTGCCATAAAAAACAGTAACTTGCACTAGATTTTGCATATACAGTGTCAGACCACTGTCATTATTCATTTTGTAACTGCATGTAGTATGTTACATACTGAACTACTTGATGCCTTGTAGCATAAGGGAAATTATTAAAGAGCACAAGAGCAACTATGGCATCAAGAAATTGAAATGGGCCACATGAACAGATGGTCATCACCGCTTTAGATTTGCTTATTTATTTTGTATTATAGACAATGTGCAGAATGAACGAGTAATTGGAACATTTATGGAACTCAAGAGACCATCAAACAATAATGTTATTATCTAAACTGCAGTGGAATGTTGGTAATCGTTCAGATACATCTCTGCTATGGCTGTGTGCATTGCTGCTCCAATTGGAAGGACATCCTCGTCAAGAAAGAAGTGTGGGGAATGTGGGGCGTGGGTAGAGCCCAACTTCTCATTTCTGATCCCTATTTGAAAGATAACCCCAGGAATCACTTGTTGATAGAAGGCAAAGTCCTCACCTGCCATGACCTTTTCAATATCCCCAACGTTCTCCGAACCAAGCATGAGTTTGCCAACCCTCTCTACATGTTGATGTAAGTTCTCATCATTTGTGCAAGCTGGATATGCTGGGAAATCCTCTTCTTTCATGTCAACGTACGCCTTACACCTATGCACAGCTGCCTGTCCTTCAATTACCTGCAGGCTCATATAAATATGTATTTCAAATGTGCACCAAATTACTACGAGAAGTCTAGGTTCTATTCTTATTAGAAAGAACTAGAAGCATTTTCGTCGATACTGGACATTGAAGACAATTAGAATCTACTGCAACAGTATATCAAGAAATGAAGGATTCAATAGTGATCTCCATATATGTTGTGTTTATGCTGGCCTTGAGCCGAGGGACTAATCAAAAAAAGTCTCTCTGCCTACACAAGAAGGGGTAAGGTCTGTGTACATTCCACCCTCCCCGTACCCTACTTGTGGAAGGTAACTGCAGGAACGCCATTAGTTTGGTCATTCATTTAGCTGGAGAAAGGGTTTTGATACGTGTTCAAGAAGTCTTCCTTAATCTTGTTAGTTCATTACATAGGTACATGTAACCCATCATTTTCCAATGGCCTAAGAAGGCAATCTGTTTAAGGCTATTAAACATGGACAAAAAATCACTAAATTTGTAACACAAACTACACGTTAAGGAAACAGCCAGAAAATCTAGTTGGTAGATGTTGATAGTAAACAAGAGCCAAGATGCAACAAAGTACCTCTTTCACCCTCTTTTGAAGTTGAAACAAGCCTTCAGTTGTTAGACTCCTCAGAGTTCCCCCAAATTCAACATATGATGGAATTACATTTGATGCTGATCCACCTCTGACATAAGTAACAGAAAGAACCTTCAGGCAGAAGTGAGTATTTCCATATCAGTAAGACTAACTATCAAACGAGGCTTGAGGTCTCAAAAATCATACAGCTTCCACCTCAAAACAAATGAGTTGTTAAAAACAAAAAATGTTCGTAAAGGGAATACATGTTCCTATATAATATTAAACATACTATTATGTACACTTCTTATGAGGTAAACATCTTCAAGGAAAATAAAAGACAAAGGATTGGACCAGTGTTTTCACAGGTGCAATAAAGCTCTTAGGTCCATTGGGTCTTTAAGCACAAAAGCACGGGCTTTAACGAAAAAAGGCGCAAACGAAAAAAGACCACAATATATATATATATATATATATATATATATATATATTGGAGACCCTTCATTTGCAAGGAGAAGTATATGTTACAGCCTTAATGATGACACTGAAGCACAATTAAGTGAGGCGAAGCGCTAACATGTTTTTTTGCCTCGCTTTGAGAAGACTCAATGGACAAAAAATGAGATTAAGGTGCGTACTTGACTATGAAGGGGATCTACTTCTCTTGAGATGAGCTGCTGCAATGCCACAATTGCAAATGATGCAGCAAGTATTGGATCCACAGCTTCATGGGGTTGTGCAGCATGCCCACCTTTTCCTTCTATTTTTGCTTCAAAGAAGCAAACGGCAGCTAAAAGGGGTCCAGGACTCGTGCCAATGCCCCCTGTAGGTCTTTTAAAATCAACATGCATACCAAATATAACTTCTGCATCACCTAGAGCTCCTTCCTTTATCATATGATTTGCACCAGCTCCTCCTTCCTCCGCAGGTTGGAAAACAAGTCTGACGGTTCCCTTTGTGGTTTACAAAAGAATTACAATAATATTGAATTTAGCAAAAAGAGATATTGACTGATATTATATGATTGCCACACAAAGGACCAAGCAGATTAGGTGAATTTTGACAGTGATTTTGGAGTGTCATGTGACATATGTATCCTCATGAAGTTGAAAAGAAAAATCTAGTAGTATCAGTCAGACAATTACAGACTGACAAGTGATCAAAGAGTCTGGTTCAAAACAGAATGTTCTGATGGATATATGCAAGATGAAGCATATGTAGTTATACATAAAGAGATCCAAGAAATGGTAAGTGGCCTTCGAAAATGATTAGGTCATCCTTCCTAGTGCACTACTAGTCCTCTAGGAAAGAATGACCCAAATTCAGATTTTGAGAATCAAAGAACAATATGGTCATATCGTTCAGACTGTTCTAAAGAAGACAAATTATGATATTAAGACAATAAAAATGCAAATTAACTTTTTTGACTAGTGCTCCACGTGATTTCTCACAAGGTGATATGTCAGTTACGAACATTATTGTGCTCTCGGCTGTTACTGGAAACAACTAGCTACTTTTGAAAGTCCTGATTCTGAATGCCAGGAGATTCAAGGATAATTTTGAAAAAGGGTAAATCTCTAAGTTCCTTTTAGGCCTTGATAAGGTCTCTAGGAGCTTAAAGGAAGAATTCAGGGAATCAAACTATCCCTCTAATTGTGAGGCCTCTAGAAGTTTGAAGAGAAGAAAAGTATGCAGAAACACATGATGTTAACACAACCATTGTTCACCGCTTGAAATAGTTCAGTTCTCATATCACAAGCACAAGTCACATTCCAAATGAATCAGTATTAGTGAAGAGTAAAGTTCCTTTAAACCAAACATCAAAAGAACTCACATTAAGTTTGTCCTTCCGTTCATTCAGCAGCTTAGCAGCACCAAGAAGCATCGTCGTATGAGCATCATGTCCACATCCATGCATTTTGCCATTAATTTTGCTCTTATGTTCCCATTCAACAAGTTCCTACGGTTATATTCATTTGAGATCAATACCAGAGAAATTTCACACATAAATATACACAGTACAAATTATCTCTTTATAACTCCCCTATATAATCTTCATAGAGCATAGTCTGTCATAACTCCAAATAAAGCTGGAGGATTGTGACATGCTGACAACCAGTGTAAAAACAATCTAAGTAATATTGAATCCTCTAGATTTGATACAGCCCAACTCAGGGCGGAGGTAGAGGGGTGGAAGGACATTTAGAAATTATACTCACTTAATTTTAAATTTATGTATCTTACTTTCCTTTTTAGCCCATTTCAAAACAAATCTGTTTCTTTTCTGACAAGTCTTTCGTTCTAACTTTTCACAGCATCTTTAACATCACAAGTTTATATGACATTTTAGTAAATTCAATATATGTTCAAAAGTTTTGTTAACTTCTTGTCAATACAAAATCAGACAAACAAACTGAAACGGAGGGAATGCTATGTAAATAAGGAAAAATTGAATCTTTTTGCACATAAGTAATTGGGACAAACCTGCATAGGAAGGGCATCCATATCGGCTCGCAAAGCAACAACAGGGGGAGAACCATTGCCAATTCGAGCAACAATACCAGTTTTAGCAAAAGGGTATTCATAATAAACCCCAAGCTTATCAAGTTCACTACGAATCAGAGCACTGGTATTATATTCTTCGAATCTGAGTTCTGGGTATTCATGAATTTTCCTTCTTATGGATACTAACCAATCTTTATCTTTACTTGCTGAACTCAGTATCTGCTTAACAAATTCTTGATCAAAGTAGCTGCTTTGAACTGAATACAGTAAGCTGAAGCAGAAAAGCAATAAGAGTACTAAACTTGGAGAAAATGTGAACATTTTGCCAGTTGATTTTGCGGACGTTGATTTTCATCTAATCGTTGTTTACAACGACTGATGACTTTTATTGGAAATTCTAACATTTCGAAAACGTGATCTATTTTACTTGTCATATTTTTCTTTCCTATTTTAAACTCCGAGATAATAAAAAAGAAGAATGAGGTAACGTACCAAGTACAAATATTAACCAAAAAAATTCTTTTTTACTAAGGGTGTGTTTTAGTACAAATTTTATCATGTTTGGGTGAATAAAATATTTCTGCATCAACTTAATTTTTTTAAATATGAAAAAAATGATTTTTCTTCGAAATTTAAGAAAAATATTTTTTAAAATATCCATTTAGAATCAAATTACAATCTTACAATTTTTTAATTAAAAAATTAATTTATTTTGTTCCTACCCTCGAACCAGACCCCACCATCCCCTACATCAGTCCCCCTCTCAGCCCCCACCCCCTTAAAAAAAAAAATAAGTTAGGTTTTAAAAAATATTTTCTATTTTAATTTTTTTTTCACCTTTACACTCAATCCTCTCCGCCAGCCCCCACCCACCTACTTCCAAAAAAAAAAATTAAGTTTGTTTTTAAGAAAATATTTTCAACTTTAACTTTTTCATTTTTTCACCTCTACGCTTCAACCCTTCCCAGCCTCCCCAGTCCTCACACACATCCAAAAAAAAAATTAAGTTTATTTTTAAAAAAATATTTCTAACTTCAAAATTTCATCTCCATTTTTAAAAAGCATTTTCAATTTCAACAATTTTTCTACTCTAGTAAAAATAAAAATATTTCTCAAAA